GGGCGCTTGTTTTCCAAGTGAGACCAGCATTGTTTTCTTTTTTAGGGGGTGTGGGTGGTGTGACACTTACTAGCAACAGTATTTTCTGAGTGTACTTAGATCGCAACCATATTTTACCTTCAGAGCACTTAGCCAAACTCGATCCGCCATAACTGAAATGGCACAAACATTTTTCCAACAAAGGTCTACAGCCCCTGTTACACTGAGCCAAGTGTGGCCTCGGGACACTAGCCAAATGTCTTCCCACCATGGTTAGGACCAAGGTCGGCTATTCTTCGGGTGGAAACGCTTTAAACATTTCGGTGTGGAAGGCAGGTTCGGCCATGGTTTGCTGGTGATCGGGTGTTCAAGAGTAGTTCAGGCAGGGTTGGCTGCTCTTTAGTCAATTGATGTATATTTAACTAAAATTTGATTCGATTTGTATGGCATGGCCAACCTTCATCAGCTAGTGTTTGGGATGTGTGACAGGGGCTAGAGGTAGATGTAAGGTCAGACTTAAAGGGGCTTACCGGGATGAGCTGGATGTATCTGCACCACTAGGACAGTCACTAGGGCCACGAATGTAGACAACGTAACTGTTGGCATCCTACATGGGGATGAAATAAATTACATAATGTTAGTCTAGACATTGTGTCCATGTGACTTATACTTAGAACTCTCTGTAATAAGGACGGAATTCAGATGTGTTGCCCACAACAGCAAGAGCCTTTACTAAAAGATTTGATTTGATTTGATTTGAGAAACATGGTACAAGAGATGTACTGGCCTGGCTTAATTTTGCCATCTATAATTGTTGCAATGCTGCAAGTGAGTATTATATCATATAATTTGATTTGATTTGATTGATTAAAATTGTAACAATACAATGCATGTGGGACACAGGCAGCTATTGCTGATGTTGTGTCCCACACATAGAAACAAATACAGGACTGGACAATAGTACTCATTTTCACTTGAGTTAAGTGAGGAAAGTTGTATAGAGTGCCTTTCCCAAGGACACACGATCGGTGGCATGTCAGGACTCGAACCCGGGACCTCTTGCTTCCGAGTCGAGCACTCTGCCGTTGCGCCACATATAATATTATATTGTTTGTCCATTCTACTCGCACGCAACCTTTGCACGGGAAGGCGTGGTTTTGTGGGTCTCTAACCACACCCAGTCTCGCACAGAAGACGTCAAAAGTGGTTGCCATGGTAGCAAAACAACAATTCTAACCTGTTGCAATATGCAAATGTCCTAGTACCAGATGGTTGCATTGTCGGAATCGGCTTCTGATGAAATAGAAAATTAAATTCTTTTTCCTTTGTTGCCGAAGCTTTGTGGTGTCCATTAGGTAAATTAGACCCGCCCATTTCTAATCTCCTCGGATTAAGTGCGTATTCAGACATGTTTAATAATTCAGTGCTGTGTCCTTGTGTCTTTTCAAAGCAATATGGGGACTCAGACAATAGTGCTACGTTTCGGCAAAAGTTACCTATCGACTGTCCCGATCATCAGCATTTGGTACGAAACTAGCTAATTTTTTTCTGTCATGTCTTTAATGGTCCATATCTTTTATTTTCCACGCAGGTCAAAACAAACAGACTAATGGTTCCTCTGAACATGATAACAACCTCTCAACATGCATAAAACAGTACTTTTAACTAACAGGAGACTTGTCGGGCAGTGGCATTAATTTTTTGGAGGGAGCGATGCGAGTTATGAATGAAAGAATGTCTTTATTTCAGGTATTTCTCCCATAGAAAACAACGGTACAGACATTGAAATACAAACTTTACATACAGCATCTTATATACATTTTAAAAATTCTGTATTGACAAGCTGACCTTAGAAGACATTGTGTTATTTATTTCAACTTTATTTTTTACATATATTTGCATGAAAAAAATGTCTTGTCATGGGAAACAGGCCTAAGAGTGCCTCTTCAACTCCCTGACCACAGTTTAGGAAATGCTAATAACAATAATAATAATAGTAACAAAAAGTAACAATGAAAAGTAATACAAAATAATAAAGTAACGTATGATACTGTTGGTGTTGTTTAGCCTATTAATAAAGGGGTAGCATAATTTTCTGCGTCTGTCAGTAGTTTGGTGAACAAACATCTAACTTGCACTGCAACATCTTGAAAAGTTAAGAAGTATTAGTTTTCAAACTCTTTCCCTCTTGCAAACTCCCTTGACGGCAAAACCGTCCATCCGCGGCATAGATATATATTCCCCACAAAAAATTAACGCCGCCTCCCCACAAGTCTCTTTTTAACATGCTCAGAACTGAAGTGCAACACACAACAGAGGCAGTCAAATAAAACTAAAATGAAACTAATAGAAAAGGAGCCCTTTATCAGAATGCGTGAGTTACTACTTATGCCTAACTCCTTTATACAGCACTCTAGCACAAGGTTTACATCGTATCCAGAACTGTGACTATAGTTCTGTGTCTGAATGAGTTTGGGTTAAGGTCAGCCATGGATAGTATCCATGTATTCAAGAATGTAGATTTGCCCCAGGCACGGTTCTGGACACACGTGGACTGTGCCAAACATTTTCGCTAGAAAAACCTAAGAATCACATTCCTAATTGTTCTAAATACAACAGTAGGTATCTAGAAGGGTTGAATTATGATTGACAGACCCACTATAGGTGTGCATTACTGTGTGGTTACAAGTATCACGGATCATTCCACTTGTCAGTATTTATCCAAAGTATGTAGTGGGGTTGCTTTCGCTTTAACACTCATACAACATTTTTATCCTGTGTTCTGTTTTGCAAAAACACGGGTCTTAAACTTATAAAAGTGTTTGTAGCATTCCTCTAACACGACAAAGATCGTACAACGCTGTTACGATGTTTAACATCGGATGTTAAAAAAGAAATTTAGCCTCTAGTGCAGCTTGTATCTGCCGGTCTCATTGTGAGAGCGTCATACATTTTCTGTTACACTGCCCAGTATATAAGCAGCAAAGAGTCACCCTACTCAGCAATCTACAGAACTTGGTAGGCTCTATCTTTGATGTACACAACATGTCTGAACAATTCTTATGTCACATTTTACTTAGAGGATCACCCGATTTACATCCAGATACAAACTGTAACATTTTGACAATCACCCAAACTTACGTTATTGATACTTTACGGTTTGTATTAGATTAACTCCTACACAGCATACAAAACATGTTCTTCTTCACCATTTCTTAAATCCATTTCCACCCATTTGCTGTTCTCTGTTGTTTTCCGTCATGTATTTTGTCACTGTAAATATGTATGTTTGGCGGTGAGGTTAAAATTAGATATACAACTAGAGTACCTCACCACCATGTACTGTATTATCCATGTTGAATTGCAAATAAAATTTAAAAAAAACATGCTGCCCAACAACCCACAATACCCGATGTGTCGTCCTCACCATCGTTACTCATCAGAGTTATATCCTGCCCTTTTTAGTAGCTAATAGTATGCTTGAATGTGCAACGCGGCTTCGCTACGGCTTGCCCATATAACCCTGCACGCGTATGGGAGCCAAGTCTCCTGTTTATGCTACAACTTCACAAAGCAAATACAAACATTTAGCCCAACCTGTGTCCTAGGTAGTGTCCGTAGATAACAATCCTCAACGCAACTCTTCCCGTGTCCAAATGACTTCGCGAATCCAAGGAATACTTGATGTCGTACTCTCCACAAACGAAGAGCGACCAGTCGCGAGGTTAGCTCAAAGCGACTGACAGGTTGCTATGTGAGCTTCTCTGTGATGGTATGCTAAGAGCACATTACATACCAATTAGCTTCACCAGAAGTCATCATAATCCCATGGATTATTGCTGTGGCACGCTATGGCACACCTCTATGAAAACTCTACATGGAGGTCGTGTGGATTTTACACATTACCACGGGTAGACATCTCTTGGTGTCAGACGCGTACAGCTCGCTTTTATTTCAATTCTGAATATTGGGTTACATTTCCTCAATGACATCCACACATACTATACACATACACATACATGCGTCTTTAGCTAGAGAGTCAATATTTCAGCAATTTCGGGGGCAGAAATGATATCTACATTCTAAAAATCGTTAAAAACTCACCTCCAGTTGACTTCGATATCCTCTTCCCTGTTCTGCCTTTACATGACAAGTCATAATAAGGCCACACCGACTTAATTTTATGGATGACATCCACGCGCGCATTCATGATCGCCTGTTCTCAAAAAAAAAAAGATCACGTCCTCCGATGCTGGAGATCTGGCCTGGCTCTAGGCCTGGGTAGTCCATGGTAGCGACAATACGGAGTCGGTTGTAACTGGAGGATGGCACCCGAGCTACCGAAGCTCCACCACTCAAGAACCATGTACATTGTCGATCCATAATTCTGCAAAGAGACAGCATGTGCAGGCTTGTCATATACGGCGCTAAGTACTGCCGCAAATTCACAATATCAGCTTTGTATTCCTGTGGGTTTAATTGCATTTTTCATTATTTTTGGCCGGATTTTTTTATTAGCCCGCGCACGCTAGTTTGGGGGTATTCTGAGGATGTCATCCATAAAATTAAGCCAATGTGGCCTAATGCAGGTCACTTTAGAGGGGGAAGAGAGAGGAAAGTTTTAAAGTTAGAGAGATTGATTGAA